CTCCCTCCCCGAGGTGGCTGTAAAAGGGTGGGAGCGGGAAAAAGATAAACTGAGCTGCTCGTCCCGCGGTCCCGGGGCTGGCACGGGGAGCTGGTCCCTTTTGGGCTCTAACTACGGTTGTTCCTGGATTTTATGGTATCACCCCTGATTTACAACCGGCTTTTATGGTGGCTGTAAAGCAGCCCCAAAGCAGAGCAATAAAGTAACCGGGAGAACGTTCCCCCTTCCCACCCAGCACGGTCCCTGCCGGAGCGGGGCTGGATCCCGGGGGGAAGGTCCCCTGGATCCCGGGGGGAGGGTCCCCCGGAGCACCCCGGGGTGCAGCCCGTGGTCCCTCCAAGGGAGCAACCCAGAGATGGCAATTTGGGGGTGCTGCTTTAATTTGAGAGGGGTTAATCAGGGCTGGGTGAAAATATGGGGGCTGGGGTCGATGTCTGGGAGGTGTGTGAGGGTGGGGGGTGAGTGTTCCTTAATCGGCTTGGGATGAGCTCCTGTGGGAAGGGAGAAGGACAGCCCATAATTCAGGATGCTCAGAACTGGGGGTTGAATTAGGGAATTCGCCTCTGGCTTGGGAAGGAGGCTGGAGTCAAATTCCTTCCTCTGCCACAGGCTCTGGTGTGACCTTGGCTCGACCCGGCGCCCCAAGTGTGCGTAGACACCAAAATCAAGGGGGGCTTGGAGGTGGATCTTTAAATGCTGTTATTGATGCAGCCCTTGGCCTGGCTGGGCCTCATTTCCCAGCTCCAGACAAGCCTTGTGTCCCTGGCTGAGCACTGGGGGGGTTCCCTGTACCCCAACCCTGCTGCCCCCATGGCCTGGGGCACATCCCCTCTCCCTGCTGCAGCTTTGCTCCCTGTTTTTGGGGTGTTCCCAGGCAGTGTTTAACATGCACGGGCCGATCTGGAGGGATCTGGAAATTATGCCAAAACAAGCACTAAAAGGCACTATTAAAATATATAAAAATATGATGATGATGAACATAATAATCACAGCTTGTTAACGGGGCCTGATGCCCACGGCGAGGATTTATGGATAACCCCGGGAAAGCTCCATGCCAGAACACGTTCCCCGAGATTCCCGAAGCCTCCCCAAGATTCCTGCCTCCTAAATTCAAATATATGTTATTCCTGTAAATGGTAATTATCCAAACACTCATCCCTGGTGTCACAGCAGCTCCGGGGCCTCAGTCGGTGCCAAACCTCCCCCTGGCACTGCAGCCCCCGGCTCTGAGCTGCTCCATGAGGAACTGGGGCTCTGGATCACGACAGGAGGGAGCCTGGGGCAGGCGAGGTCGGTGTTTGTCTTCCCAGCAGCAGGAGGGAAAGAGGGAGTGGGAGGAAAACACTACAGCAGATCCTTGAAAACCTCTTTTCCCGAGGCAGAGCGGGGCTGCTCCGGGGCTGTGCTTGGCTGTGCTTTACCCAGCTGGTTTTCCTTGGCACTGCTGCCAGGGGGGGGGGAAGGAGGCTGATGGATCCCTGCTTCCCACAAGGCACAACGGGAGCAGGGAAGGGATGGATGCCCTGCCAGGGCCGTAACTCAGGAACAGCCGGAGCCCGCCTGACTTACAGCCCTGTCCTGCACCAGCCACAACTCACTGCTGCTGCTGGGGGGGGGGGGTTGGTTTATTCTTCACAGGGGAGATGCAGGAGGGGCAGGGGAGCCTCCTCCTTGGCTCCAGGGAAGGGCTGCAGGCGGATTTTCCCGGCACCTCCAGGGTTTATGGCTCCGTCGTGCTGCCGGTGTGTCCTTAAATCATCAGAGAAGAAAAACAGCCACGACACCAAAAACACTTCCCACAGGTGAATAACACCAACACGAGGCTCTGGGAGGGGTCCAGATTCTTGCCCAGCATCTGGGAGGTTCCAGAGTTGGACTTGACTCATCCAACGCCTGGGAGGGAGGAGAGGAGGAAAATGCTGCTGGGAATGGGTCCTGCCTGAAACAACCCTGCCATGGTGCACCAGGGACTGGGGGCATCACCCCCCGGCCTCCACGTGTCCCCAGGTGGGTGTAGGGCCTGCAAGGATCCTCCATCCATGAGGTTTGGCAAGTTCTTGATGATCCAGAAGGGAATAAGAGGCACCAGGGCCGTTGTTCATCCGTTGTTCATCGTTGGCTTCCCAAGCTTAGCCCTCCAAATCTACTGGTTGTCTACAAGAATGTCTTAGGGCAGCTCCCCGAGGAGATAATGTTGTGTCTTAAGGGATAAAGAGGGAGGATGTGAAGCTCCTTACAACCCTACACATGTAACTGGGGAAAGATCACCCTGAAAGCTGCTTCTCCAGCAAGAAAAGTTTTTAACCCCTTCTCCAGGGGAATGTGCTCCAGGTGACTTCAAGTGCAGGAGAGGCAGAAGTGCTGAAGCAGCAGAGAAAATAAATTAATGCCATCTCGGCTAAAATCCCACGCAATTAAAACCTGGATCGGGCTGTTCTCATCTGCCTGGAGAGAGAGAGGGAGAGGGACAGGCATTAGTCACCATCTGCACAGAGCTGCACGGGAGGAGCCTCTTCCCAGCAAGGTGTTGCATGGAGAAGGCTCCAGGGCACCCGGGGCCGGCTCCTCCCTCCCCCGAGCCGCTCTGCCTGTGTGTCTGGAGCGGTGGGAATGCCTGTCTCCACCTCCTCCCCTGCCTGGAGAGCGGGGGCAGCTCGGGCTGACTGCGAGCGCGTTTATAGAACTGCATCTGCTGCACCCAAAGCACGCGGGGGAACCGCCGGCGTGGGCCAGGATCCCCCCTGTGCCAGGATCCCCCCGGTGCCAGGATCCCCCCGGTGCCAGGCAGGGGATGTCCCCCGGCACCAGAGGGGCGGCACCGGGGTCCCCATCCCGCCAGCGGGAATCACGGATTGAGGGACTTGAAAAGCGAGTCTGTGCAGAGGGGAAGAAACTCAATTAATCTTAACACCAAACAAGCCCCTTTGACCTGCCCGGGGCCAGGATGAGCAGGGATTGAACGAGCCGGGCTGGCAGCGCTGGAGGAGCTCCCCCGGCCTTGGCTTGGCGGGTTCCGCTGTTTCTATGGAGTTCGCTGCCGGTCCGGCCCCGGGCGAGGTCTCTGCAGCGCCGGCGGAGCCGATCGATGGAGCTCTGGCAGCTCGGGAAGGCGCTGCTGCCGCCCCACCTCCTCCAGGTGCCCTGGAAAGCTTCCCCGGGCGCCGCAGGGCGTTGCAGAAGGACCCGGCCAAGAGCAGGAGCATCCACCGGGCACATCCTTCCTTCCCCGTCCCTCCGGAGCCGGAGCCCTTTGGCCGCGTCGCGTGGCTGAGGCGGGAGGTGACACCCGGGGGCAGAGGGGTCAAGTGCCACCGTGGAGTGCTGAGAGATCCCCTGAGCCCTCCTGGGCTGGCTGGACGTGCCTCCCGCTCCCTGGGAAGGGCAAGGCAGCCGTTCCCTTTCCCTCGTGTCCCAGGCAGACGAGGACGCAGCGCTGGGAATGGGCACGGAAGGGTTCGGGGATGGATCAAACGCGGCCCCTGTGCCCTGGGGTCAGCGGGAGGGAGGGGCTCGCTGCGAACCAGCCCCTGTGCCGAGCCCCCCGCGGCCCTGGCAGCAGCAGCAGGACGTGGGCATGGGCACAGAGACCCTCTGGAAGGGCTTCTCCAGCGGAATGGGAGCCCCACAGCCTCACCAGAGAAGCGGCTTTCACAGGTGCTTATGGGGTTTATGCATTTCCCTGCGTGCCCCAGTGCTGGGTAAAACATCTGATTTCCCCCCCCACCCCTCTGTTTGGAAAGCCTTGAGGGTCCCGTGCAGCTGAGACCCCTCCGTGACCCCGGGGTTGTGCTGCAGAGCGCTGGAGCAACGCTAACACGGAGCATGTGCTCCCATTAAGCGTCTGCAGAAACGCTCTGCTGAACGGGGGCCAACACGCCAGAGCATCGCCCGCTCGGTCCGGGCACATGGGCAGCGATTTTATGTTATTGAAGTCCTGCCAATTAAATCAGGTCACTCCAGTCTCTCCTCTCCTGCCTCTCCCGCGTGTGCCCGGCTGTTCTCCCCCCCCCCTCCTCCCCGCTGTCCAACCCCCCGCCCCAGGCGAAGGCTCTGGGAACGAGCCAGACCCCCGGCTCGGCTCCCGCTGCTGAGCATGAAACGGGGATTCAATGGCCGCTGTCGCTCCCGGGGCGTGCGGCACCCGCGGGGCTCCGACAGGCGCGGGATGGGGCTGGGAAAGGCATTTCTGGGAAGGAAACAAAAGCTGGGGTCGCTCTGCTGCCCCCGCCCCAAATGCTGCCTTTGTCTGAGCCCCACCGCCGTGCCTGGCAGACCCTTCTCCCCGCGACACGCTGGGTGTGGAGGTGGGTGGGTGGGGGGTCTCCATCCTCACCCCTTAACCGGGTGGCACAACTGGGACCCCAGAGCTGCCCCCCCCCCGAGTCAGGGCAGAGCAAAACGCAGCTTTTCTCCCGATGTTTTTCAAGGTTAAGAGTCCCTGAACGTCCCTCTCCGGGGGAAACGAGCCGCTGCCAGCACGTCTTGCTTGGGGACCCGCCACCCCGAGGTGCTGCTGGTGACCAAACCCCCCCCCCCCACGAGGGGGGTCTGCGATGTCCCCTCGAGCACCCCGAGGGGCTCGCGGGACCACCCGCAGCCAGATCTCCCCAAAGGCAAAGGAATCCCGGCGAGCAGGAGCGGGTTTGGGACGCAAACCCACCCCACCGAGTGTCCCGATTCCCTCCGAACGTGGGGCCACGGGAGACCCCCCCCCGCCCGGGCTCCCGGTGCCGCAGCGGGAGGGGGATGCACTGCGGACCCGGAGGGGGTGCGAGCGCCCGGCCGAGCCTTTGCAGGAGATTTTTATCCACCCCTGGTCCTCGGGAGCGTCACCCCGAGGGTCTGGGGGTGCCGGGAGCCCCCCGGGGGCCGCCAGAGCCGCAGGGGTTAACGCGCGGCCGGCAGGAGCTGATTCGGGTGGGTGGCACGTCGTGGCGACAAGACCGGAGTGAGGAGGAGGATTGGGGAAAGGGAGGGGAGAAGGGAGGAGGAGGAGGAGGAGGAGGAGGAGGAGGAGGGGGGAGCGCTTGCAGGCAGCGGGGAGTGTGCGGCTGCGAAGGCGCCGTGCGAGGGGAGGATGGAGGGCTCTCACCGCCGCCTCCAGCCCGGGCGCTGAGGGCCAGCGTGGCAGGGGGGGGTCCTGCTGCCCCTGTCCCCACACCCCCAGAGGGACGAGGAAGGACCCCCCAGCGCTGACGGGTCCAAAGCGAGCCGGCCCTTTGTCTGCCGGCGGGGCTCTGCCCGAGCCAGATGTGCGGGCAGCTGTGCAGGGGAGCGGCAGGCGATGCCAGCGGCGCCGGGGGACGGGGACAGACTCCAAGGGTGAGTCGGGGTCCAGCCGCGATCATGGTATTGTCCGTCGGGTGTGACTTTGGCGGGGGGGGGTTTCTGTGCCTCGGGGTTCTGCATCGCAGAGCCGGCTGCTTGGCAGTTCGTTTGGGGTTTGGTTGGTTTTGGGTTTTTTTCCCCCCTTTCCAGAGCTTTGATTTCCCTGATAAAAGGTGGGTTTGACGATAAATGGTGCGTTTGAAAAATGAAAAGAAGGAAAGCAGGTGAAAACGCAGGAAATGCGGAGACATCGGTGCGCGGTCCGGGCGGGGGGGACAGGGGGTGCGGGAGGGAGAGGAGGGTTCTCTGATGGCGGGAGCTGGATTCCCGGTGCTGGAAACTCCTCTGGGATCGAGTCGATCCTCACCCCGGCGCCGATGGGAATGTGGGGTGACCGTGGCGGAGCCCGCGGCGGTGCCTGGGGCTGGAATCCAGCCTTGCCCGGGGCTGCTGGCAGGATGCGAGCCAGGCGGGAGCAGCGCTCCCACGGCATTAACCCCTCGGCGCCAGAGCGGCGCGGAAAATGTTAAAAGGAGCGAAGCGAAGTGTAGAAAAGGGGCTGTTAATTATACAGCCCGGGGCTTTGTCTCCCTCCCACGTTCACCTGCCGGCGCCAGGCTCGGGGGGGGGGGGGGGACAGGCTGCCCGGGGTGGGGGGGACAGGCAAAGGAGATGGCAAAAGACCCCCGTGAGGAGCCGCCCCGGGCCCGCGGTGTCACTGGAATGATGTCGGTGCTGTTCTGTGTTTATCTCCCCCCTTCCCTGCTCCTCCTCCCGCAGCAGCTGCACAGGAGCCTCTCACCCCCCCAAAATCTCCGCGCTCGTCCCCCCGTGCCAAACACCCACCCGGGTGTGGGGCTGTGCCCTGGGGGGGGCCGTGGGATCATCTCGGGGCTCTCTGGGCAGGGAGGGACCCTGCGCTGACCCGCCCCGGGCGGGGGGCTCAGGGCTGGGAGGGTCCGCGTGTGGCCGAGCCCTCTGCTGTCCTCGCCTCTCCCCGACGCCCACACGGGCACCCGGCCCTCTCCACCTCTCCCCGCTTCCTGCCAGAGCCTGGAAAAAGGGATTTGAGACCTGTCAGCAATGCCCCATTCTCCTGAGGAGGGGGAGAAGCCCTTGGACACCTGGGGCTTGTCCCAGCGTGGCCGTGAGAACTCGGAGGGGAGGAGGGAGAAACAGGGCTGGGAAAAGGACCCTTGGAGCCGCGTTTCCAGGGAGCCCTTTGCTGGAAGTTGTGGGGACGTGCTGCCATCGCCTCTGGGCGTGAGGGTCTGGCTCCCCAAGCCTGGAGGTCAGAAGCCACACAGGGGTGTTGCCCGTCTCCCCCTCCCCTGGATGCTGTGCTGGTGCCGAGCCAGGACCCAGCCCTGCCTTGCAGGGACGAGCAGCCCCGATCCCGCAGCCTGGATGCAGGAGAGCTCGTGGAAAGGCTGGGAAGCAAATGTCTCACTGCTGTCTCTGCCAGGCTGAGCCTGGCGCAGACGGGGAGCGATGGGATGTGGCTCAGGGCGAGTTTCCGGAGCTCTGGCTGCTCCCTGCCCCGGGGGCTCTCCCGGGGGGTCCATCAACCCCTCACGGTCACACTTGGGGCATCATCACCCGGCTTCTGTCCTGCCTTCCCGAGGCAGAGGACCCTGGTCCTGCTGGCACAACCTCTTTGCTGGGGACACGGCTCTTCCCAGCTCTGCCCAGCTCTGCCCAGCTCTGCCAGCACCCTGGGTCCTCTCTGTGGGCAGTGGGGGCTGCTTTGGCACATGGTTGGCACTGGTACAAGTGAGGAGAGCAGGGCTGAGGGCCAGCCCTGGGCTGAACCTCTGCTCCTCAGCCATCTTAAACCCCTTCCTTTGGGTGGGACCTTTCTCACCTTCCGCAGCGCAAACCCAGGGGGTGAGAATCCTCTGCCAGGGCTGAGCTGTGCCCACACCCCTGGCAGAGCCCGTCAAACCCCTCTGGCTCAGGGGAAGGGCTGGGGAGTCAGGCAGGACCCCGACACCACCCCACCCCGCCTCGCCAGGGCTGTGGGAGCAGCAGGAATTCTGCTTCCCCACAGCACCGCACCTGGAGCTGCACAGTGACATCCCCGGGGAGCGGGGGCAGCCCCAATGCCAGGGAGGCTCCCATTCCCAGGGAGGCTCCGATTCCCAGGGAGGCTCCCATTCCCGATGTGGAGCAGAGCTCCAGCTGCTCTGCCCAGCCCCTGCTCTCCCAGCCTGGCAGGGCTGGGCTGGCTCCCGGCAGCAGAGGGACTGTCCCTGCTCCCGGCTGGAGCTGGAAGAGACATTCCACTGCCATTCCAGGCCGTGATCCCGGAGTTCCTGGCTAGGACAGGGATGAATCGGTGCTAGGAGCTTTTTCCAGGTGGGCATCTGGAAGGCTGGGAGCTTCATCTCTCCAAAGGCAGGGGCTCCATCCCTTCCTTTATTCCCAGATGTATATCCCAACCCCCCTGCAGGGCAGGCCCTGCTCACTGACCCCTTTTCCCTTCTGTCCCATGGGATAACATTCCAGCTGGCACGTGGCTGATGCCCCGAGGGGCAGAGGTGCCAGCCCAGGACCCTCCTGATCCCCTGGCACACAGGAAATCACCACCACCCTCCTCTCCTGCTCCCACATCCCTTTGCCAGGGAACACCCGGGGGGGCTGCTCCGCTGCCCTGTGCCCACCCCGAGGTGCCAGGCCCTGGCACAGAGGGGTGGGTGCCCTCCCCCTGTCCAGCCTGCAGGGGAGGGACCCGTGACTTTGGATTTCTCCTCTTGGAATTGTTGTTCCCAGGGGAAACGTCTGCACCGGGAGCTGCAGCTCTGCCCAGCCCTGGGAAAGCCACGGGAAGGAGAATTCCAAGCCCAGCCGCTGCCTTGCTGGGAGGGCATCGGGAAAAAACCTTAAAATTAAATGAGTTTAAAACTTCTCCTAAAAGTCAGACGATCCCTGTTGATAAAGCTCCTCACTGTGACTGTGGGGGTGAATTTTGGGGTCGTGGGGCTCGGGGCAGCCCCCCCCTTGTCCTCCCTGCTGTTCCCTGGAAACCTGTTTGCCCCTTCCAGCCTCCCTTTTCTCCCGGGCTGAGGCAGCGGCTGGAATGCCCGACACCGTTCCGGGACATCAACCAGCTCATAGGCAGCGAAATAAATGTGCGGCTTTAGTGCCTGGTGATGGCAGAGAGGTGTTGGGTGATAAATATGTTTACGGTGGGGTTTGTAAAAGGCTGTTCCAATGGGTGGGTTTCAGGAGGGCGATAAATGGCTGAGAAAATTGCTCTGGTTGCAGCTCGGAGCGGCCCCAGCACCCCTTGAGGTCCCCTCCCCATTCCCGGGGAGGGCTTGGAGCTCCTGGATGTGGGAAAAGGGGTCCCCCAAAGCACAGCCCCCCATCCAGGGCGGGAGGGGGGCCCTGAGTAACCCCCCCCCAGGAGCTGTTTGCAAACACTCCGCGGGGCAGGAATTATCCGCCGGCTCTGTTTGGTGTGCGATTCCGAACAACAAATAAATATGGGGAAAATTGGGATCCGTTCCCAGACAATTCACAAAGGGCTTAATTGGGACTTAAGTGGTGCCTAAGTCTTGTGCTGGCTCTCTGCGCCGGGGTGCCTTTCACCCAGACAGGGAAAAGAGACAAAACTTGGTCAATAAATTACTTGTGATAAATTATTCACCAACTCTGCTCGGAATTAATGCCGACTCCCCCCTCCAGCAGCTCCCGAATGCTCCGATATCTCCTGACCCTGTCCAGCCTCTGGAGCCACTCGTTGGCTTTAAAAGCCTCTCCCAGCCTCTATTATAAAACCATATTTCGTGGCATTTATAACCTGTCATAAAGGGAAAAAAAAATCACTCCCAGATTAAATTTGGCGTGTGAGGTCGGGGCTTTGTCCTTCCTGTTGAACCAAAGCTGAGGCGAATCTGTTTGCAGGTTCAAGCTGAGAAAATTGTTTGGCGTGAAGAGAGGCCACTGTGCTTCTGTGAGGCTTAATAACGCTCGCTTGGAATTTAAAAGCCTTCATCAGTGAGGAATTTGTAATCAGCATAAAAGGGGTTTTGCATTTTAACCAGCTTTTCCCCAAGGAAGGGATGAGCCGGCTCCAGATCTCTGGTTTTTTTTTGGGGGGGGGGGAAAGCGTCTTTGCTTCTCTCCCTCCTCAATCCTCGTTCCCAGCAGTGGGAATAGAGAGAGGGGGGGAAATAGAAAAGAATAAAAAAATATAAATATCAGGTCAGCTGAAAAGGGAAAAAAAATAGGTTTCCCTATTTATGAGCCATTAAAAACCGAACCAATTTGGTCCAGCTTTTCCCAAAGGAAGAGATGAGTCGGCTCCAGATCTCTGGTTTTTAGGGGAAAAAAACATCTTTGCTTCTCTCCCTCCTCTCTCCCACCAGTGAGAAAGGGGGGGGAACAGAAAAGAATAAAAAATACAAATATATGGTCAGCTGAAAAGGGGAAAAAAATGGGTTTTCCCTATTTATGAACCATCGAAAACCGAGCCCATTTGGTTTGTGCTGGAAGAAACATTTCACTCGCGCGTCTGTGCCCATTCACAGGGCGATTATTAAATTTAATGCAACGTTTTGGGTGCTCAAACCACCGTTTGACGCCTCATCAAAGCCTCGAAAACCCATTTGGGCTTCAGAGTCGGCCCAAAAAAAAAAAAAGAGCCCCTAAAAAGGGGCTGCGGCGTTTGATCCCGATTTGCAATCGAGCGGGAGCCGCGTTTTTCTCCTCGGAAGGTTTTTTATTCCCATGGAAAAATTCTGCCGAGTCCCGTTTCTGAGTCACTTTTCCCAACTCCTACGAGCTGTCGCTGCCGCTCCGATGGAGCCGGGAGGGCCGTCCCAAGCCTGGCTCCTGGAGTCCAATTCCCTAATTCCCCACGTGCAGTGGGATTCATCCCTCCATCCTGTGTTTAAAAGGATCAAGGATTAGGAGCAGTCCTGGAATTCCAGGGCCCTAAACCCACTCTGTCACCTGCTCCACCCTGAAATCATCTGCTGTGCTTCCCT